GCTGCTGATGCTCTGGATCCCTGGTAAGGGCAGAAGAAGATGAGGGAGGAGAATGGGGTGGAGGGTGAGCTCTGGAGCCCACCGCTTCCCATGTGTGTTCTGTCCATGTGTGAGATGTGCACGTCTATCCTCCAGAATGGGGCACATGAGGTTTAGATCCGTGAGAATGAGGAAGATTCCAGAAGCATCAAGGACCTGTGCTCTGGGGAAGACTCTGGCTCAGAGAGTGGATGATGGTGTACGTGACTTCTAGAGACACTTCTGTGCCTTTCAGCTCTCTGTTAATTTTTGAAATTGGCAATATTTAGTATATGAATCAAAATCACACATACAAAATAGCCTGAGGTAAATAACGGTAGGAAAATTATAAAAACTGCTCATAATATTCATTCGACTTTGCACTTCTTTATTATTATTTTAGGATCCAGTGGGGATGTTGTGATGACCCAGACTCCACTCTCCCTGCTCATCACCCCTGGAGAGCCGGTCTCCATCTCCTGCAGGGCTAGTCAGAGCCTTCTATCCGATGATGGAAACACCTATTTGGAATGGTTTCTTCAGAAGCCAGGCCAGTCTCCTCGGCTATTGTTCTATAGGCCTTCCAAACGTGCCTCTGGGGTCCCTGACAGGTTCAGTGGCAGTGGGTCAGGGACAGATTTCACACTCAAAATCAGTAGGGTGGAGGCTGAGGATGTTGGGATTTATTACTGCGTGCAAGCTACACATTCACCACCCACAGTGATACAGCCCTGAACACAAACCCCTCTGCTTGGTGCAGCCCAGCTGCCCACATGTGTTGTTTGCCCGGGGAGCAGCTCAGCAGATTCTCTGAGTCTGTGTAAGAGGAAGCTGTTGGAGGATGCGGGGGGTAGGTTGCTGCTCTGTCCCTTAAGCACCTTGGCTATAGCTCAGGCACTGTCCGTTTATGGCCCCATCAGCTGCAGCAGCTTTGGGGACATAAGTAGTGGGGAAAGAGGGGTGCTCCAAGTGTCCTCTGAGTAAACAGACGTGATGGAAACTGCTGCTGCTGATGACATGATGATTAATGATGGGCCTGGATAAAATTTCACTCTAACCCTCCCTTTCTTACTTTTGTCAATTAAATTTAATCAGCAGAAAAGACAGACAATTGACATAGATTTTTGGAAACACATGTTGAATACATCATAAGGTTTAACAGATTTTGATATAATTTTTAATAAAATAATATTTGGTGATAGTCAGAAATTGGTATTTTCCCACTTTTCCCACTTCCTACTTCCTTTATTTGCTACTTATCTCTCGCTCCATAAGAGAGTAGAGAGAGCATTTACACAAGCTCTTCTTAGGGGGAGCTGGCTGAAGGCAACTAGTAAAAATCTCGGGTTTTGGTTTTCCAAATAGGCTTTTGTAAATTCATAGTAGATATTAAGTCCTAATGCTAAAACTCTTTGATTAGCCTCAATTACATATTGTTGACAGAATAAGGAAGTTCCTGAAACTGTAAAAGTTGTGTTTTAAAAATAAAAAGGGTAAACTGGAAGATGTAAATCATAGAATTTACCCCATATACCACTGAAAGAATACAGAACGATAAGGATTTTAAGATTTTCAGGTGACTTCAGGAATGGGAACCTGAAGGAAGTCTATTAGACCAGAGTGACTGGACGATAGCTTTCTGTCTTGCATTTGGTGGAGTTGGGGATGATGGTCAGTGTTGCAGGTTTATGATATAAACCCAGAAAAGCAGCCCAGATGTGTTTCTTGTGAAGAATAGCTGAGTTGAAGGAGCACTGCCTGGCTTCTTAGGTCAAGCCCTGAGCCACTGCAAGTTTCATGGGAAAGCAGTGCATCAAGAAGGTCTTTCTTTAGGTCTGCAGTCATCAACGATTTAGTGAAGTTCCTGTGCAAGGACATAAGGCCATGTCACTCATTTCCCAATCAACCCAAAACAGCACAGCAGAGTTTCTGAAAACTTATTGTGCTCCTAGAGGTGGTTCAGGAGAGACCATGTGGATGGGTTTGGGCAGATGCAGCATGCAGTGACATACCAACCAGAAGGCCCAGCAGGGGCTACACCGAGAAGAGCAGTGGAGATGGGGACCAATGTCCATGATTCAGACGTATGCTCGTATAAAGGATGGTCTGCACAGCCTTGGAAAACAAGCAAATGAACAAACAAAACCACCCTGAATGTGATGTAGACTTCTGCCTTTCCTCCCCAGCAAACGTCCTGTGGAAAAACTGGCTCTTTCTTTTCACTTTGGGATTCTAGATCACTTAGTCCTAATTTCTTCTGTTGCTCTCTGATGTCATTGCTATATAACTTTTGCAATTTATTCCTTGTATATATATTTTTTGTACCTTTTGCAGTTATTTGTTTTGGACTTTTAGTTTCTATATTATTGTTTAAGAAAATAAAACTTCCTTTTATTTTTTTAACCTAAATAATGTATAGACATGACAACATTGGTACTATATTATTACCAAAAAACCCCTCAAACAATAAGTAAATGCATTATTTTTATGTGACATTTTATAAACCTAAAATGAATCTGGTTCCTATATTTTATTAATAACTATATAGGTAATACATGCTTTGAATAAATCCAACCTAAGATATTGCTATAAAATATTTCTGAACTAATAATGGGCATGTCAATTACATGTCATGACATCTATGACCAAAGTAAAAAA